TTCTATATAATTGTAGCATTAAGGAGATAGAAAACCAACAGCCAGCAAATTCAATTCAAGAGCCATCATTTCTTGACTTACTACACAAGACATTGTTATTATCATAGCCTTCAAGTTGGCATAATAGGAATAAAAACCTTTAAGAACAACATGTTTTTTTTTTTGAATAGATGGCAAGATACAACATATTTGATATCACAACCTAGAAAAAAAAATCTCAATGTTTGGTGATTTTATTAGAGGTAGAAACAACTTTGATGGTATTATAAATATTTTATTTTAAAGAAGTTAGAAAGGTCTCAATAATAATCAAATAATAAGGTGGTATTTCCACTCTAGAATGAGACATTACCGATGGTTGAGAAGACCTATCAACTATCTTTGGAAGGAACATAGATTAGAATATATTGCAAATATAATTTGTTGCATCTTAGACTTCTTTAATATGTGATCATCGCTCTTTGTGGAATTTGTTCCTAAAAAGAGAGGTAATATCATGGACATATATTTATTATAATTATTATTTTAATAACATAAATAGTTAAAAATAGATTAATTTTTTAATAACTTTTTAAAAAGCTTCTAATAAGCATCATAGATACTAGTTTGACTTTACATGTATTTTTAGTTGATTAGTAGGTTAGAAACTTGGTCAACAAATTAATCCTTTGCTAGACTTATTGGTAGCTTGTGGAACAAGCTAACTATATGGTGTCTATATAAATAACTTATCTTGCAAATTATAATATGTATCATATAATATCAATATGTTTTGAAGATCCTATAGAACTTTGCCATGTAGTTCCTAGGTAGATAATATATATAGAAACAAGAGTAAAGCCTTGTTTATTCTTAAAAATTCTTTTCTTGCTTCTAATCTAGTTTCAAGAAACCTCTAATTTTCTTGTCTTTTGGTAATAACCATTCTATTTTCTTTTTAATATATGTACTTTTTTATTTTATTTTCTTCATACTTCTTTAAAAAAGTTTTATTTATTTATTTGCTTTCATTAAGTTCTTGTCTTTGACAATCTTAAATAAATAAGGACAAGGATTTCTTTCAATATATAAACATAATTAATTAATTTAGTTATAATTCAATACCTAAAATATTTTAAGAATGTAGTATCAACTATTTTAGCAAAGTCTTTATTTCTTATTTCTCAAAAAACTTAACTTTGCTACTATAAAGAATTAAGTAATGTAATATCAATAATAAATAACAATCATGTTTTACTTAAGTGGTGACATTTGTGAATATTAATATTAAATAAATTATTCCTCCATGGATATAGAATCTAGTCTATAATAGATATATTTTCAAGTCATTTTTGAAGAAAGTAAGATATGAAGAAGGTCAGTTTGGAATACAATACATTATGCCAAACAATAGATTTGTAGATGTCTTGGATTTTAAAATAGGAGAGAGGATTCTATGAAACAAAGTAATTAAGTTTGTAAGTAGGAATTTTATTGAGTTTGTCTAAATAGTAAGAGTTAGATTTTACAAAATAAGCAAGAATAGTGACAATCTATTATTTAAAGAATCACTTTGCATAAGTATTTAGGATTTAAATACTTAAGAAAAAAAATCCCTTAATTTGACATTCTTGTCAAGTCAAGTTTTGTAAGAGGTTTTTTAGAGAAAAAAAAAAAAAAAAAAAAAAAAATGTTATAAAGATTTTTCTTGAGTATGGTGATTAGGTATTTGATAAATCTATAGGATTTTTCTTCTATACACACTTGCATTCTTGGATTCTTTTTTTGTGATGTGCAAGATTGCTTAACTTATTTATGTGTAGATTCTTCTTTTTTTCTTAAAATTGTGTTGGTTGTACATTTGTATTTGGATTAGATTACTTATTTTGTAATTTTTTTGTTGCACTTAATATGTTGTGTGTAACAATATTTATTTACACAACAAACTTGTATTATAAAGTGTGTAAAAAAAAAATACCTTTATGAAATAGAATAATATAAAATAGACTAAAAAAATCATAAACTTCTAGTACAACTAGAAAAATTGTATAGTAAAAGAAATCATCACGTATTAATTGATTGAAAGCAAAAATATTAGTAATATATATATATATATATATATATATATATAGATATAGATATAGATATATATATATATATATAGATATAGATATATATATATATATATATATATATATATATATATATTATTATGTCATATATATTTATATATATACAATATAATATATCTTATATTGTAATGAAGAAGTTTCAATACAAATAAGAATATATATAAAGTATTTTTTTAATATAAATTAATAATCTAATTATTATTATATATATATATATAACTTAATAAATAACTACAATTATATGAGTAATTTATGTTATACAAAAAAAATATGCATAAAAGACTTTTTATTCTTGTAATTTATACCACATACATAAAATACAATGTAAATTATATTTTACACAATAGAATTAAAAATTAATAAAAATTTATTCAAATAAAATAATTTTATAAATCAAAAAATAATATTATTTATAAATATCATTACATAAGTTTCTATTATTACGATTTATGAAATTTTGATTTACAATCTATAAAATTATACTTAAAACTCCAAATTTAATGAGAAATTTTCTCTTGAGTACACCTAATATATATTTTAAGCTCTATTATTTTCTATTTTTTCTAATACCTCTATATTTTATATTAGATTAATTTTTTTAAGCTGATTATTATTTCTTTTTTTATACTAGAATTATATAAATATTATTTTTTATTAAATATTCTTTATTAATAATACTATACTATTATTTTTTCTTTATTTTTTCTTTATTTTTTTTAATTTTTTTTAATTTTATAATAAAAAATACCTAATAATTAGAAATTTTATATATAAAAAAATATAAATTGTACATAAAATAAAATAAAATAAATCAACTAATATTAAATAATATGATACATCTATTTATATATTTAAGATATATTTTATATTTGATATAAAAAAATATTATATTTTGATGTTAAGACAAAAAGTACATTGATATAACTTACTAATATTTATATTTAATTTAATCATAAATTATCAAAGATAATGAATTTGATTATATCAATAAGAATAAAACTTTAATAAAATATATTATATTCTTTATGAGTTTTGAAGCTAATTTAATTTTTTTCAATCTTTTTATCTAAATATTTTTATTCTTAACAAATAATACAACCATTTCTTAAGTAGCATTGACAATTGTTTATAAATTAATATAGCAAATCCTTGAGCAATTTTGTCCAATATTTTTTCCTTATTGTTGTTAGTGGCAGTAAATCCACACTAAAGAGAAACTCAATTATCACCAAAAAGATCTTATAGAAGCTTCTTACAAACCTTTAGGCTTGTAGCATAAATATTAAGCTATAAGTTGATTTTTATGCAACTTAGTAAATATAAAAAAACTTATACATAAAGTTTTAATAATCATATGACAAATCTATATGAATCTAAATATCTAATTTGTATATCAAATACTTTCTTGAATATTCTTAAAGAAAACAATTTCTACAAAATATGTTTCTACATACTTCTATTGACTTTTATTTACTTAAGAAATATAGGCATTTGTTACACTTACACCCCTTCTTTATACCCTCTTATAGAGTTGGAGAAACAAAAGCATAGGTTGAAATATCTTGTATAGTTGCTAAATTCCTTTATTGTATGTAATTATATAATATCTTTTATTATTATTAAGTTATAGTGATATAAAGATTTTGGCCTTATTATTGCTTAATAAAATTAAATAGATAATAATCTATTTTATTCTTTTATTGATCAATTTTGCATTGATTTCTAATATTTTTAATTTACTAATATAATTCACTTCTATTAAGTGGCTTTGATTATGGTGAATGTCTAATAGTTTGTATAATCAAAGACTTTGCAAGTATTTTTTTTATTTTTTATGATGCAATTAAGAAATTAAATATATCACTCACTTCATGCAAACAATCTAACAACACATTCCTAATTGAGAGAGTTTCTAAACATCATGCATTGTTCTTATACTAAACTTAGATAAATGATTACATGGGCCTAAATTAGATTCTTCATTAAGGTCATACTTGAATCATATAAAGGTAGTTCAAGCTACAAGCAGACCCTATGTTATTTTATGCATATCCATTATGTCTATACATACATCCAAGGCTTTTAATTGGCTCATCCAAATCCATTTTCTTTTGTCTTGGCGTAGATCTTAAATCCCTACTTTCTTTCTTCTTTGTTGATATGGGTCTTGCTTCTCTTTCTTTATCATGATGTCGGTCTCAATCTCTTTCTTTCTCTTTCTTGTCTTAGCATGGGTCTCGACTTCTTTTTTTTTCTTTCTTTTTTTGGTGAAATTCTAAGGCCTTTTTCTTCTCTTCCTTGCTTTAGTACAAGTCTAATCAAGTCATGCCAGGTTGAGAGTTCATTCCAAATATTAAATGTATTGATAATTGAAAAAATGGATAGTAAGATTCTTATGACTTTTGTTGCTTCAATTATAATTCTCTAATTTTTAGATTCTCCATTGTTTTTTAGTGCTTCTTTTCTTCTTCTACAATATACTTATCAACTATTCAATACTCAACATTTGAATTGGAAATTAGTTAGGCAATTTCCACAAACTCTCTTCAATTATTTCTTCCTCTTTCACAATTGTGACTTCAATATATGCATCAGCTATTAATGGTTTTAATAAAAGAGTACTAAAAAAGTAGTAGATTTTGTATTCTTTGTATTTAGCAACCCCAAGTTACAATCTAGTGCCAATACAAGCAAAATATATGCATATAAGAAATGTCTAAGCTTGTCTCTATGAAAAAACATGATACAAAATAGTAAGCATTGCTAAAATTGCTCAAATGATTCATATACTTTTTTGTAGCCAACATTTTTAATCTATATTAAACTTCCAAGAATTACAAATGTATTGCAAGCACAACTTTGATGATGCAAAAAAATGAACACAAAACAAAATGTAAGACTTGTAATGATATGATTCATTTGATAAACATGACATAAATTACATAGATACCATATACTATACATATATAAGGATCTAGGAAATTTCTTGTAGCACCTGTTCAAGGAGGGAACAATTAAACTATGGAGGGTGCCCCACTAGTGAGGTGCTTCACTCAGCCTACTATTTCATATAAGTTATTCCCGTCAATGCAGAGTATGATATTGGTGAATACTATCCGAAGAACTTCCGAGCTAGCCAACAGAGCAACTAACTAATTCACGTCATTTCAACTCGAATTCGATGTTGAGGCTTTTCTTCGCACTTCTCCAGCAGTCTCGTCTCTAGATTTTTCATAAAGCACGGGTTGGGGAAAACAAGCTCCAGACATTTTCAACTTGTGCAATTCCAAAAGCCATGACGAAGTCAGAGGTACATTTTTTAAAAACCTCATACGTTCGGAAACTATTCTGGTGTAACATATGAGCTGAGTGGAGGAGTTGTTACAGATTTCCATGTCTGCTTGGCTAAAGCTTCATTGTATCGATCACCTGCAATTTCGTGTTCTGGCACTGCTGCTGCAACCTCCTTCAGTTCCTCTGGAGTGAGCTCCACAGATATCGCCCCTATGTTTTCGTTTAAGTTGGGAATCTTAGTAGTTCCTGCAAAGCCAGTCAAAACACCATCAGATATGCAAAATCATGAGGAAGTAACTTGCGAGCTGAAAGATTTTGGCTTCACAAGGATGACAACCGTCGTCTATGTTCCAAACGTCCACAAAGTTGAGCTGAACCTGGGATAGGTACGACGTCTTCCCCCTGGTGAAGAACCCAAGCAAGAGCCAGTTGTCCTGGTGTGCACTTGTGCTTCTTTGCTAGCGCAGCAACTCGCTCATACAAGACCTTGTTTTTCTCTACATTTTCTCCCTGGAACCTTGGATATCGTTGCTGAATACAGACAACCAAAAACCACGTGCTTTTGGTAAGTTAATGTGGCTTTGGCACTTCCCCGTAATTATACAAAGTGTTTTTATAAAAATATATAGAAACAGGGACTTCACTTCAATGTGCAGACAGTTGAGTACTTACAGGCCTAAGATCTGTCTCTTCTAGCTTCTCCAGAACTGCTTTCCCAGAGAAAAAACCTCGTCCAAGTGGGCTGTATGACACAATCCCAATTCCCAGCTCTCTGCGTCAAACATGTCACCCATTTTTATTCAGCATGGGTCAATAATACAGCCAAATCACATTGTGTTTGCATCCAGGATACCACTCACTATTCAAGATGAATAATGGGAGGACTATGGTTACGGTTCATCCCTAGCCTCACGTGAGATTGCCAAGTTGTATGAACATTTCAACTTATTCAGGGATACCATCATCAACTGGGATCGAGCAAGAGAAATAGCAGCTCGATATTATGAATTTACCTACAAAGAGGGATGATTTCTTCTTCAATGTCTCGAGACCAAAGAGACCACTCAATCTGCACAGCAGTGATGGGGTGGACCGCATGCGCACGTCTGATAGTATCAGCACTCGCCTCAGAGAGGCCGATGTACTTTATCTTCCCTTCTTCCACTAACTTCTTAAGCTCTCCAACCTGTTCGGCCAAGATGGATTAGCAAAATGAATCTTGGGTTTGTACAAAGAATTCAGCATGTCATGAAAACTGTTCGAAATGTGCCTGCCTATTTCAACACAATAGTACGAGGGGAGTTCTGTTTTTCTTTTTTTGACAGGCACTGGGTTTACCAGTCGCAACTTAATTAACCTTGTTTTTTTGGTTAAACCCCTTCCTATGCACAGATACGGACATACGAGGACCTGTTTCTTTTGCCATCCAGGAGTTACACCAGCTCTGCTACAACAATGCTTCGAGGTCTGGTATCTTTTTTTTTTATTTTCTTTGAGGATATTATTCCAAGTCACATCCGCAAGGAGGGGAGTTGACTAGGTCGAAGGCTTGAAGCATGGCAATGACAAGAGAACAGACAGAAAAGGTGAATACCGTGACTTCAATGGGCACTTTAGTGTCAACCCTGTGCTGGTAGTACAGATCAATGTAGTCCAGCTGAAGGCGCTCCAAGCTGTCTTCACAAGCTTTCCGCACATATTCGGCGTCACCCCTGACTTCTATCTTGCCATCCACAGTGGTTATTGCGAACTTCGTTGCCAGCTGGACTTCGTCACGAGGCAAACCCTTCAGAGCCTGACGAACATGAAGGCTTGTACATTAGATGTTTGGAACATATAATCATAGAAAATATCACGTCGAATTTCGCATTGGAAAAAAATAAAAATAAAAATAAATGAACTGCTGATTATACGGAGCTACGTGCCGCTAGGGCCGAATACTGGAATGTTCATGTGTGAAAGTAGTTCTCAGGATCGAAAGCTTCGAGATGTGGAAGGAAAGCAAAACTGACGAGATGTGTACCGAACTGCCACAGCCCAGCCTTAAGGACCGGAAATTGTCTTACCCGCCCGAGCAATTTCTCATTCGAGTGTGGCCCATAAGCGTCAGAAGTATCAAAAAAAGTCACCCCACTGTTAAAAGCGTGATGAATAACAGCGATGGCTTCCTTCTCCTCCACAGGCTTCCCGTACCAGGTGGAAAAGCCCATGCATCCCAGCCCCAACGCTGAAACCTAAAATTCAACCCACCCCACCCCACCCCACCCCCATCACCAACAGGGAATTGCAGCGTTCCCGAAAACCAGAAGCCAGAGCAGACTTGGCACGGATGCCACAGCAGTAAAAAAGTAATTTATTATCAGCGAGAGTAAGAGTTAAAAGATGTGAATCCCAGGCCGTAGGCCGCACGTCTAGAAGGACGAAGTCTACCCAACAATGTAGTAAACACGCGCTGTATGTCAGTTCCGATTCAAAAGTGCTTGCTCTCTGTGGACAGGGGGTACTAACTAACAAACCTGAATTCCGTGCAGCCAGACTCAAACTATGTAACTAAGTTATACCCACCATCACCCACCTTGAGGCCTTGGCGCCCGAGCTTCCGAGTCGGCACTGAAGGCGTCTGAGAGCAGCGATCCATTGGGAACAACCCTTGGGCGGAGATTGCGAGGTAGAGGAGGAGGGAAAAGGAAAATTGTTCAAGCAGGCAGGTAGACGCGAAGAATATGACAGAACGCAAGGTCGAGAAGCCCTAGACGGGCTGGAAGACTCGAGACCAGGGCAAAGACCCTTCCACGTAGGATTTTAAAGGGGTGTCCAGCATCTATCTGGCAGCCCGTCCTGGGTGCCACCTGGATGGATGCTTGCCACGTTAGCAACAAAGCTCGGCCCTCGCGGAGGTGAAGGCGGGCCACGACGCAGGCGGCCGGGACTACGGTTTCATATGGATTTGATTTTATATTAGATTCAATTGAGCATTAGATTTTTTCTTTTCTTTTTGTAGAATCTTTCATATATTTTAAATGTAATATTAAAATAATAAATTTATGGATATGATAAGAAGTTATAAAAAAATCAAGTAAAACTTAGAATTTTGAATAACATTATTAAGTGCTTTAAATTTTAATATGATAATGTAATTTAATACTGTAAAAAATGTAAAATAAAAATCAAGAATCATACACAGATATTAAATCTCATTAACAAATACTTTTTAAGCACATAATTACAATTTGGTTTTATACAACACATTCTTGCATGAATTTTTATTTAGATTTTGAAATAAAATAAAATATTTACATTGCTGATATTTGTATTACATAATTTAAAATTTTATTTAATTACACAATTGAAGTATATTATGTAATTGCAGTGACTAAAGAATCCTATATATATATATATATATATATACATAAATATAACATATCTTAGTTTTGTATCTTTGTTTAGCTATTTAAAAGCCTCATGTTATACATATATGCATACATACATAACTATTGACTTTATTATGTGGCTATTTTTTAATAGGGAGTTGTTAAAGCCACACCCTAAAACACCCTATAATGATTTTCAATAGACTAAATATACTCTACATCTTTGGTTTGTGAAAATACACATTATAATATTAAACAATTCAATCTAAATTATTTATTCTACAATACATATATACATATATAAATCCAATGATTTCTAAGAAACAATTGGGATCTTTCTGAAATTCATCAAATATCATATATATTGTAATGCATTGAACATTAAAATTTGCAAACATTTTGCATTGTAATACTAATCTATATTGGAGAAACAAAAACACTTATATTTACAATGAAATCGAATAAGCCATTGTATACAAAACTAATTCTCTATTTTTGAGCAATATTGGCTACAAAATCTACAATCAAAAAAATTGTTGTTTGAATCCACTTTTTTACCCGAGTGCCTAAAAATTGATCGAAAGGTTTCAAGAATTAGTCTAAAAACATGAACTCGCTTGTTGTAGCCTTCTTTAAAAAGTAACTCTTCTCCCTGAATTTGAATAATCTAGGATTTTATAAATTTGCGAAGGGTTTCACATCCATCCACCATGACTTTGATTGCATGAAATTCTATATTTATTATGTCTACAAAATCAAGTATACATTATTAATTTTGTGGTCAACGCGTAAAGTAGAACACTTTCAACGTTTGTATCCCTTCCCCTCACTCTCAGATTGTTTCTCAAATGAAAACTTCATTGACCAACAGCTGCAAAAGAATAATGTCCAGTCAACGAGGTTTTTGCAAATGAAAAAAGAAAAAAAAGAAAGAAGAAAAAGTCAGAATGGCTACGTGCACACACAATTTGTTGCAGTACATCCGTCAACTCCTAAAATGGAATAGAATACCACAACCCGATAATGTGGTGTCTGTCAAAACAATGTATAATGGACTTAAGCTCATCATGCAAAAACAGCAAATAGAATACAAACATGGGATTGATTAGAGAGGGGTGTTAGGGCGAAGAGTACAGAGAAAGGGTTAGTCATTTTGCGAAACCCAGATGCTGTTGCGATGCGTCTTCGGTGAAACCCTAATTAGTCAGAAAAAGGAGCACCGCCAGGCATCTCATGTTGGAATATGTCGCAGTGGGAGATCATGTCGCAAAATGGAGACTGAACAAGCAATTCAGTGTTTATTTAGGATTAGATGGATTTTACAGACATACGCCATGAAAGCCGTGTTGCGCAACGGTGCGGTGGCCCTTTCCATTCCTTTTCCCTACCACCGTCTTGACAGTGTCAATAAACAATTTTTTGGCCTGCCGGCCTTTCAAAAGATTCAATAACTATTTTCTACGCAGCAAAGAATCTGTAGTTTTGTCGTCGCAGCAGCAGTAACAAGCGACGCACAAAATCTGTGAGCACTCTACATCAGCCTCTTGCAATGTGAAATCACTCGACGTTGTGATCTAAAACTTAGGATTGTGACAGGTTTGAGTTAACAAGACGCAAAGTCCTCTTCGTTTGCTGTTGGTGAGTCGAAGATCTTCGACTTTAGTAATCTGCACCCCGAAACGCTTCCAGGATAAACCCCAAGAGCACTGTCGCAAACCCCAGTGCTGAAGTGACCCTCAAAGACTCGCTAGCCGATCTGGCCGGCGCCGGAGCTTCGCCAGCAGAATCATCAGCGCCGGTTGGAGACGGCGATCCGCCATCCGAAGGAGCTGACGGAAGTGGGGAAGAAACGGGTTGTCCAAGGAGAGTAGGACATGCATCAACGTCAGTAATAACGTCGCAGACGGCGGGGAGGCCGAGAGCTCGAGTAGCATTGATACCTGCAGTCGCAGGGTCGCCACTTCCGACTGTCTGCAAGAGCTGGCACAGACACACCGGTTTATTCTTCACGACGGCCCCAAGGGATGTGCAGCATTCCGGCGTGGGGGGAGTCGTGTCGTTGGCCATGGCATACGCGAGGCATGACTGTAACGACGCGAATTCGTTCGAACAGTCGACGGATTCACTGACTGGGGTGGGAGCTGGAGACGAGGGCGATAGGATTGGAGCATGGGCTGGGGTGGGCCCGAGCCAGGGAGCCACTGGTGCAGTGGCAGGACTGAAGGGTGATGGTGCAAGGATACTGCCGATGGGACTGTCGAGCAATGCCGGACACCGAGACATGTCCGCGGAAACCTTACATAGCTGCGGCAGGCTCTGCGCCAGGGTTGCGTTGATCCCATATTGAGCGCTGTCGTTCATTTGAGAGAAAAGCTGGCAGATGCAAACCGGTTCTCTCGCCTGGACGCTCCCAATTGCCGTGCAGCATTCTTTTGGTGGTGGTGCTTTGCCATCGCCGCTGACGAATTCCAAGCAGTTCGCAAGCTCACCGGTCGAGTTGGAGCAATCGTAGTCCGATCCTTTTAAAGGCACGGGACCTGGTGCCGGAGTAGGAGCGTGAATGGGGCTGATCGTAGGTGTATTAGGAGGAAATTGATGAGGCGGTGGGCTGTGCAATGTGGGAGATGGGGCTGGAGCAGAAAACCCCAGTATCGCCGGGCACTTGCTGTAATCCACAGCCACTTTGCAGAGTTTCGAAATCTCATCTGCGCGCGTTACGTTTCCAGGAGCAGTTGCAGGATCAGCGAATGCTGCTTGGAGCTGACAAAGGCACACGGGGTGCTGCTTTTGCGTCGACGAGAAGGCCGTGCAGCAAGGAGTGGATGGCGGTTCCGAAGAGTTGCTGTTCACGTAGTCGATACACGGCATCAAGTCATTGAATGGAACGCTGCAATCTGCTGCAGGAGGGGGCGTGGTCGCGGCACTCGCCACAACAGCGCACACCATAGCTAACGCTGCAAATGAATACAGTCCCGCCATCGCCTGTCGATTACCTGTGGTCTACCGATTGACGTCCTTCGACACGAAACTAGACCAGCAATCACGATGAAAGACACAAAAGCATTGCCTGTAGCCCACCCGCCCCCCAAAACTGCTTTCTCTCTACCCGGATCATCCAAGTTTAATTATAACATAGCAATGTTCAAGGAATCGCCTGCAAATGCTGCTCCAGCGCCTCCACCACGCTACACACCACCAACTTCAACTAACACAGCATCAACAACACCAACTCCGCATCGATCTCGATAGTTATGACGGTGGAAAATGATGGTCCGTTCATTAACGTGCCCCACTTGTGAACCTCGTCTAGCGTCGTGACCAGCGTCATAGATGCTCCACTCACCTAGCGCCTGCACTTCACGACTGACCCGTAGCATTGGAAGGTACCACGATACGAAAACCCGTAAATTCCAACTTCTTATCATCCCACAACCGGACTCCAGCAATTGAATCGTTACACTCATGTGGACATGTCAGCGCCATGATAATTAAATAACCAAATGAGCTGATACACGCAGTAAATGAAATCTCCTTTTCACAAGGAAGGAGCGAAGAATCTCCGCATTACTGCCTGATGTGGTGCAAGAACGGACGTCCTATCACACGTTTACTAGAAAAATGGGATAAATATCTGGAATCTACGATAGTCGAGGACGTCGAGGGTACTGAGGACATCGATGAGCCACTCTGCATGGATATTGGCAGAAAGTGTGAGGATGGCAGGATGCGGTTAGTCGTAGCACGGCATGTGATCGGTCACGGGTGAAGTGCAATGAGGGCGAGAGGGGTAGGGGAGGGAGGGTGAGCTCATTAAATGCCCGGCGCCAGAGAGGAGACTATCTGAAGCCAAATCAATGCCGCATTCAGTTGACCCACACATCGAAGCTACCGTGCTCTTGCCCATGCCGCTTGCGGTGCCATTACAGTCCCCCAATCGCACCCCATTCGTCATCTTCGCGCTCGCTACACAAATCTCTAGGGGCTCTTTTTCTGTCTTCGAATCCACGCTCTCCGAGCTCTCCACCTGGTCACAGGCTGATGGCAACTGCATGCCAGTCTGGAACTTCTCAAAAAACTTATGCCGAATCAATGAATCCTTGCTGTCGGATCATCTAAAAAACCGTGTTAGTCAACTGGCTCAGGTTTGACCTACCATCGTCTCGTGTTGTTTCATTTAATTAAAGTGCGAGCTGGAAACACAAACTAGGCGCCAGAACCTGCAGGGAACACTTGGGTGCTCTTCACGTAGTGCCGAAGTTTATGGAACCCTATTCATGATGTAGATTTTGTATTTTGCATCCTTATTTGTTTTACATCGTTTGTTTGTTTTTTGGCCTTCTGTAGTTTAGGAGTGATCCTTCCGGCTGGTGAGTTTGTAAGGACAAAAGACTCTACAGGTTGCTGCAGAATGGAGTTGCAAGAGCATGGTGCTTCTGTCTCATTCAACCAGGCTGTGGTGATGCTGGTGCCCTTCTTCTTGATGTACCCCACGGAGCTAGCATCTTCTGCAGGCTCATAAACCCTAAATCCGTAAAACCCTAAACTCTTGCTGGTGGATCTCAACCAGGCTATGCTCCACACATGTGTACACAAGATGAGGGGTTCTCATCTTGGAGCATTGAATATGAATTATCAAGGAAAGAGCAACACTTCCTAAAATCTTCATTTGATTTGAATCCTAATGAGTCAAGACATTTTGAGTAGTGACCGTTTTTTATGTGATGTACATCTTCTCTTTTTGTTTTCAACGTGAGCACAAAATGTTCATTAATTATATGACTCTATGTTACATGCAATGAATAGTTGATATCAAAAGTCGTGTTTATAAAAGACATGAATTCATTCTGTTAGTTTAAAATGATTTGCAAAGATTATGTGTTCTGTATTTAAGTGTATTAAACTCAACACAACTATATCTATTTAAAAAAAACTGATCAATCTTCTCCAAAACAATATTCGTTTGATTAACTTGTAGAATCAAATAAGGTTTTACTCAAATTAATTATTATTATATTTTTTTTATAATCAACAGTGAATAAGAAAGGACTTGATTCACATATTTTATTCTTTGATCTATAAAAAGTAATATTATGTTAGAATTCTTTCACTGGATAGTATTGTATTGTTACAAAGTTTTTAAAATTTTCTAAGTAGAAAAACATACAATAAGAAGTCATTAATTGATTATGTTTCTAATAAAGATACATGTAAAGTACAAAATATGTGAACTAAATATATATAGTAAATCACTTCTTTGAAAAGAATTTGGGATTTTGAGCTATTTAAGAAGCTAAACAATCATTTGCTTAAAATTAATAATAACAAATTATGTGAGCACTAGCACCACATCTATTATATAAAATAGCTTGGGAGGAGACAAATACAGGGGATAAACAAGAGAAGACAAAATGGCTTTCTGATTTGCTGCATGCATCATTATTTTCATCAAAAATGTGGATCAAAAGTGCAGTTCACTCTTAACTTTGTTCAAGTTAGTCAACAGTCACTGGGCAACTCTCCTTGTCAATTCTTAATTCTCTTCAAGTTAGCGTCTTGCTTACAACTTTTTGAATACTCATTCTGTGCTCTTGTGGATGGATTCTGGCACAGTAGCATTGATCATGGTGTCCTTCATCAAGTGTCTTGCTCACAACCATCACAAGTGTTCTCACAATTCAATTGTTGCAGGTTTTGTCGAGTGTCGTATTTTTTTTGCTCAAAGGCTCAATGGCTTTTCATCAATTTGCTTAACGTCTATACTATTGATGGATTTACAATCAACAGGATAAACTGGATTTGTAGTCTGATGGTGTTGATTTTTGCTTTTGTTCATGTTGTGATGTGATGCAACATTGCTACAAGGGTGGATTTGGGTCTCAGTGACTAGATTTTAAAGTTAAATGGTATGTTACATTGGACCAGTTTCACATCAATCAGGGGATGGAGTGGAGGCAACCATGATTTTGAGAGTTAGACTGAATAGCATTGTATACTGTTAAAACTGGGTCTCAGTTCTCTCAATCCCCTCTAGAGTAATTAATCAAAATGTGACAAAAAGCCATAGAAGAGTCTCTACTAAGATATTATGAGAAGTGGAGATTTAGGTTGTTGTGATTGTGGTTCTTGTCTTGAAGCATCATAATTTGATTTCTATCCAGTGATTTCTAGTCCTCTTCTTCACAAAATTGTTACATTCATGGACAATGATGACCAGTGGTTTGAATAGTGTTTCACAAGCTATTAGGCAATGGGCTCCCAAGTCCAACATGAAAGGATTTGCAATAAGTATGCACATTGCACTTAATCTACACAACAATTGAATTTTCTTGCCCCACTTTTACTATTCTTTTTGGCTTATTTTTGGTTATTTTTTCAGGGTTTAGCAAAAGTGATGCAATCCATGTTTTTGATTCTGATTCAATAGATGTAGTGGTTTAGCTTTGTGGTGAGGTTGTGCACACAGAGAAGCATCAAATTTTCAAATGTTGTGAATTGGAGATTTATTTGTGGGCATTGCATCTGTTGTAACTTTATTGAATCCTCATTTGGGCTTGGTTGACGTTTGTTTTGTTTTGTTGTTATTTTTTATTTTGAGGTTTTTTATACATTATTACAAAAGTCTTTTTCAAATTAATTTTGTTGTTTGTAGAGCTCAAAAACCAATGAAAACTTCAGAGATTCACATATCTATATATATACACATCTTAATGTCATTTAATTGAAAAAATTGTAACTTGTTTTTAAGTTTGCAATTGGAGTTCTCACGAGGTTTGATTAATCTATCTTAGAGAATACAAGCTGCAATTGCCTTTTAAAAGAGGAACCAAAGGCACCCACAAAGTCAAAGAGGGTCTCTGGCAATGCTATCCAAATCAATGTAGAATGTAGTGAAGGAGTGGCCTGTAAGCAAGATGAGTTTTTAAGAGGTGAACAACCCTTGGAAGTTGCAAATAACTTACACATTAATAGAAAGAAAATACAAGATGCTCAAATCATTAGCAAGAACAGGATATGGCCCTGCTTGAGGCCTACATGTATGCATGAATCAAACAATTTGTGCATAGGAATCCACAAATTAATATTATTTTGCTTTGTTTTAATCCTGAGAAAACTCAAGTTTTATGTTGATGTTTTGTTTTGAAAGATAAATTGAAAGTTTTTTAGTTTTGTGTTATGAATTTGTAATGTATTAACAGTAATAGATATTGATTATATGCTAAGCATACATTTGATGGCTAAACATGTGTAATTACAAGCATGAGTTGTTATTGATAGCCAGTGGTATGAAAAGGTTGGAGTTGCAAAATGTAACATGAGAATATATAAGTTATGGTGGATTGGATTAGCCAATATATTGTTCAACAGTTAAATCAAACAATTTTATAAATTGATTGTTTTAAATATGATACCATGGTGATCCTAAAATAACACAAGTATGTGTTGTTATTAATAAAAAATCACATTCATTAAATGTATGAATAAAAGTATGTATACTTATATATAACTAAAAGCTCAATTTTCACCAAAGAATTTTTTTAATATAAGAGATGAAACAATTAAAATTTATTATCATTTTTTTTTCTTCTATTTTCTTTTCTTTGTCAACATTTCTTAAGCAGTGATCAACTTTTGACTTTACAACCACAAATTAAACTTTTACACATTTTTTTGTGTCTAACCACACGGATTTCCACTGGTATATAAAACCATAAAATACAAATCCAGAATTAATAATTACATAACATGTTAAAATTAAATTGTACATAGTTATTGAGGAGCATTTTTTTATTTTTTATTTTTTAGAAATTATTATTTTTATTTTAAAACCAAATTATAGATCTTAAAAGAAAAATCTCTTGGTTTTAGATTCACTTTTAAATTTATGGTATTGAAAGTAATGTTACAAAGATTGTATAAGATTTATATATGATTAAAGAGTTATAATTCTAACTTATTTGCTATTAAAATTTTAATTGTTTATATATATATATATATATATATACATATCTATAATAAAATTTCATCTAAATTCTGAATCTTACGTGCTTAAGATATTCAATTGTATTCTGATGAGGACAGCTTTCATTGCTTGAAGAACATGAGAGCCTTCAAACCAGTATTTTATTAAAAAAATAATGTGATTGAGTTTTTTTTTTTTTTTTTTTTTTTTTTTTTTATTATTATAAATTTAATTAAATTTTTGATATAATGTTATCTGGGTTTCACAGATTCTGGTACACATTTAGTACAAATTCTGAATAAAACACTCATCTACAAATTGAAATATAATCTTTTAAATTTTGTGAATTATTTTTGATTGCAAATCAAACAAGGTGTTCTGCTCGATGGAATACAAATAATTTTTCAATGCTTATTTTTAAAGTTTTCCTTTTGTTACAAAAATAGAATTATTTGTGTATTTACGAATCTTCAGCTTGCATTTCAAAAGATCTACAATCTTAAAAGGATTTCACAAGTTTGTTCAAAAGCAAAGTGATTAAGTTTTTTTTGATTATACATGTATATGTATTTATGCATATACATACATACATACATACATTTAATTGAATTGAATTTATACCTATAGAAGTTTAAAAGTATAAAAACATATTATTATTATTGTTCCTGTTATTCCTTTATAGAGATATTGTGATCATTTTTAATTAAAAAATATCTGCTTTATTTTCAAAGATTTTTTCATGTTTCTTGAAGCCCAGATTTGCTAAAATTTTTTTTGAGTACTGGGAAGAATTTTCAAATTGTCAATCATTTAATTTTAAATTATAAATATTCAACTGAAAATTTAAATGATTTTTTAAAATTTAGTGATAAAACTTTAGAAATAAAAAATACTATATATATATATATATATATATGAGTCCAATGAATAATCATTCGAAAATCACCACCACCATAAGGAAACAATGGGTTCCAAAAAATGGAGACCAAAGAGGCTCCCACATTCCCACGTACCCACGTATGAGAACACCGTCTTCGACTTCGAGTAAATTCTGGAGACCGAAACGGTAAAAAAGACGGTGATGGTGTTTCCGCAGGGCATTGTGGAACTCTGCAGGTTTCGCAGCTATGGCTCCCTTCCCTCTCGCTCCATTTTGTTTCTGCTGACCTCGGCGTTTCCTTGGTTTTTATTCTTAGATCGTTGCTGCAACAGCTCCCCTTGTTCTTAATATCCATTTCGTCCTCCTGACCCATGAGCTTGGACACGATCGGGGATGCCGTTGTGTCTGAGGGGGCCCGAGTGCTGGTGGATCTTTGAATCCTAAGAAATTTTTTTGAGTCCGAAACTATGCGCAGCATTGATTGTTTCGCGGGTCCGGTACTTGAAGTAGAATAACTGCGAAAGCGGAGAGTTACGAATTTTCCTCATATAACTCTGAGGAAGAGTGTACTGGCAATTTTTTATTGCATTCAATCCGAGATTAAAGTGAAGAAAAAATAAAAAAATAAAAATCCAGCGAAGGATTTGAAATTTGAGTTCCAGTTTCCACAAACTTAGAGATTTAAATTTTCAGGTTAAAATTATTATGGTTATTGATCGAGTAGCTTTTGAGCCGTGGCCATAATATTTGTTAAGTGGAGGGCCTAATGGAAGTTTAAGGGAATGATCTAGAAGGGAGCCCTGTCCGAAGTGGTTTTCATTGAATGCTGCGGAGTCCTGTTCCGACAAGAGGTATAATCATCTTCTGTGTAGGTTAACATCAACTCTAATTCACAAGCATGATCATCTTGCCTCAAAGGCACGTGAATTGTAACGACATTTCCATGTTTGGAGAATGTTTTGGTTCAATGGGCAGGTTTAAGAGGTACTGATTTCAGCGTCAAAGCGGTCTTTCATGGTGGTGAACAGGTTGCATTCATTGGAACCGAAATAACATTGGAGGTTTTTTAAACCATTTACATGCGCGGTTCCATCAAGGTTGGTAAAATAGAAGTTTCCACCCCCCAAAACTTATGAAGTAGTGAATACATTGTGTGTAGTAGATAGGTTTTGTGAGTTTCTTTAGTGTGTAGGGTGTAGTTGAGGCTGATGTGTTGCAGTACGTGTTTATATTACGCTTGTCTTGTTTTTGCATAATCATTGATGGTTCCCGAGGTGGATAATCAGTCCAGACGGTTGTTGTTAAGGAGGTGATTTTGGCAGCCGTAAACTTCTTCAATCTAGTAATCTTGTTGGGCTGCAGGAGAAGGAAACAACATACTTATTTTTTGTGTGCTCCTTGATTGGAATTGATTCCAATGAAGGCGTGCCCGCTGGTACTCACGTCTCTGAAGTCTAGGTCTTCGGTATTTCTTTCCTCCCTTAAGTCAAGTTTACATGATTCTTCATTTCGACCTTGCAAGGAGCATTTTATCGTGGAAGACACTCGATGGTAGATTTCACAATAATCTGAATATCTATCCTGTCAATCTCCATGGATAACATGAGTTTGCTTCTTGTCCCATACATTTGAGATTCCGTTAGTTGAAAAGTTCCTTATCTGGTTCTTTTTTCTTACTTACTATTAGGCGGTGGTACCTGTTCAGTGTTATAGGTAATGATGTGCCACATGTATTCAGATCCGGGGTAAATGAAAAGAGGCCAATAATCTGTAGCGAGTGGATGTGAAGTTTTATAACTCCAATCGAATACGCAGGCAGACTTCTCTAAGTGAAGTTTATCTAGATCCATTCGTGGAGATTCTTCAGAAACCCTCCAGTTAACTCTATTCGCAAGACTATCAGGAAACTGCAGTGGCTGCCTTGCATCAATTCAAATAAAGAGACCTCATTTACAGCACTGCACCTTTTGCTTCATCAATCTTGAAAACGACACAACAACATTTCCGGTGTGTGCACATCGTTGGATCTAGTGAATTGTGAAGAGGTATCAAAGAAGTATGTTTACTTGTGATTCTCTATGGCAGGTTTCAAAGATACTGTAGTGGCTATGTTGTGGATTCTTGAACGTCCAGGACATGATACAAAGCATGCTCTGATCAGCTCTTTGATTGCCCTTTTCCTGCAGCGCTACACCAAAAAACAAGTCTCTTGCCACATATACACAACAGGTGACCTCCGTTTGCTCATGACTGATTCTAATCCTGATCTTAATCCGTTCCATTACGCTCCCAAAGCCGCCTCATAACTATATGTGTACTGTTCCTGTCTGTAGCCCCCTTCCAATCTCCACTCCCTCCTTCCCTCTCTCCCTCGTTGCATGCTCTCTCGTGCTTGTTTGTCTTGCTTGTTTTTTATTTTTCTTGCATGATTTGCTTGCTAGTCTGTTTATTTGCCTCCCGCAATTGGATTTTAAATTCAATCCCAACGCGGATGCGCACAAACCTTATTTTTTGCTGTGGGGCAGCACGCTGTCAAAAATGTCCATGCGTCTTTCTAACCGAGCGTGGTGTATGTTGCAACGAGAAAATTAAGGGGAACGATTGCGAAGGGTCCTTAGACATATGTCTGCAACCGCGGACCTTGGAGGAGAACGGGCTCTTCCGTAGCGTCGCAGCTGCTTCACCGTCCCTGCCTCACGCGTGTTGGACAATTGTAGGTGAGCCGCTTCTATTCTTAAATTTTGCTTTTGTAAGTAAGCAATGCAGAAATGTGTTGGTGATGCTGCTGTTGCTAATACAAACTCAAGAGAGATTTTTATTTGAGCACAAGATGTTACATACAGAATGAGAGTTTACCCATTGCAGTAAACAATACTATGGTAAAATTAAGAATCCAATTTTACCTAATCCTAATGTTGACATGGATTGGATGTGTTGAAAACCAATAATCACATGGAGGAGGACTGGATGTTGGTGGATGATCAAGGACACATGTTGGATATCACCAATATCTTCCCTCAACTTGTACTTGTGTTTGTCACCTTGTAATGGCCTGTGGTTGTGTTGCTCCACTCAAAACACTTGCACTGCTACAAGTCGTGGTTGAGGATTTGACATTGGCTAGCCTTGTCATTTTTGCTTTGCATTCCATTTAGTATATCTCTTCTCTATGCCCACTACCTCAAGGTTGTTATTTTGTTTTTGTTTTGTTTAATTCCAGCTCTTTGCTCTTATAAGGTGACAATGATGATCCTTTGTCATATGTATAGATCATCATTTTGCTTTGTTATTTCATGGTTGATGTTGTCTTTGTTGCATGAGTGTTGTAAAGATAGCAAGGAGAATTTCTAACTCAAGGAAGTGACTCTTCTTAGGATTCAATTGAGAGATGCTTCAATGTTGAGTAATTCTTTGAAGGCATTATCAATCAAGTATTCCATTGTTTATTGTAGATATAAGACTTGAGTATACATGTTATGGCTTGAATATAGAGCTTACATGTAGGGCTACAAAAATGCAATATTAAAGAGCTTTAAGATACAAATAAAGGCAAAGGGGAGTTTCTTTAGTAAGAAAGCTAAGTTCATATCATTTAGCATTCCCTAGGATTGAGATTTTTGAATTATATGTATCTAAGTTAGTACTTTCTTTAGTCCAATTGATTCTCTATTATCAATAAAATTAATAAGGTCTAGAGCCTTTGTCAATATATTTGTCTATTGTGTATATGTGGCAATATAACTTATTTCAATTGTGCCATCTAAATGTTTATTTCTAATGTAGTATTGATCCAATTTAATATGTTTAGTTCTTTAATATATGACAAATTTTTTGACCAATCTAATATTACTTATATTATCGTAGAGTAGTGGTGTAAGATTTTCATTGTCCAATTGTAGTTTTTTAATGAATCTTTATAAATAAGTAATATTTTGAGCAACTTCAAAGATGATACAATATTGTGTCTCCATAGAAGAGAGTGCTATGGTTGATTAGAGTTTGCTTAATCAAGCAATGGATATTAAATCAAGTTTGTATAAATGTCCAATATAGATTTTTATGATTTAATATCCCTTCTCTAATTTATATCAACAAACATAAGTAGATTCTATTTGTTATTAATGGAATAGAAGATACCATAATCCATGGTGCTTTTGAGATACTTTAGGATTTTCTAAGCAACAATAATATGAATAATCCATAGTTTGTTCATATACTTCAACACTCTTCCAACTACAAATTGTATATTGTAACAATTGATGGTTGCATTTAGAAGTCATCCAACTAAGCTCTGATATAATTCAAAGTCAATTTCAAGTATGACATTTGAAAATGATAGTAATTCAATGACAATTTCAAGTGATGAAGATTTTATCAATCATTAATTGATCAATATTATTAATTGACTTATTAAGTAATGTATTTTATACTTAAATGGATTAAATATTTTGTATGTTTTTTTTTGATTTTCATATCTTAGAAATATATACTTGTTGATTTTCTTTCAAATTTTGATTGATATTCTTTTGATAAGTACAAGTATACTAATGAGCTAAAGACTTGAAGGTGGTTTACATCTGGTTTGATTATATAGTATAATTGGTCTAGAATTACTCCTTGATTGGTCCTACTAGCACTTAGTGTAAAAAGGTAAAGATAAGATAATTATATAGATAATTAAAACAATAGAACTTTTTAGAATTGGGGTTAGGTTAATGGACCAAGTAGGATCCACCATAGAACATTCTAGAAAGGATTTAGGGTAGTTATTTAGGTAAAGCCTATCATAGAACCTTTTAAAAGAAAGCTAAGGATGGTTATCTACGTGGAGCCTATCATAGAACCTTTTAAAAAAGGAGTTTAAGATGGTTATTTAGGTGGGATCCATTACCTAAGAACATTCTAGAAAGTCTAGGATAGTAAGACAAGATATAAATATGAGTAGCCAAGGCCTTTTGGAGCATCTAGTTAAGTATGGCTTCAAATCCTTTCTCTTAATAAAGTTTGGTTTTACATCTTTCTATTTAGATCTGTTCTATTATGTTTATGTTTGCTTAGTTTTGTCTTTCATGTCCTATTCTATTTAGTTTTATTTAATTTAGTTTTGATTTGTTTTAACCTATTTTGTAAGGAGGCCTTATGTTGTTGTAGATTGGAAGGATCTTGAGTTTTTGAGATAATGTAGTCTTATTTCATTGGTATCAGAGTAAGTATTAGACTGTTTCTTTTTGGTAGCATGTCAATAGTCATCATTTAGTCCAAAATCATTTGTTGTAGTCATATTGGGTATTTTATTGAGGCTATCACAAGCTACTCTTAAAAAGTCAATCGAGAGGTGAGAAGACATTACAATAGTGGAGTCCAGTGGAGAAATTACAATATGGGAGATATGATAGAGCAATCCTAGATGGAAGCTCTAATACAACACCTCTAAGGCCAAATAGCCACTTTGCAAGGACAAATAGAAGCCTTAAGGATAAGAGAGTCGACATTCATTAAGTTGAAATTGAATAAACCTAGTACATACTCTAGAATTTCAAGACAAGAAGATATATGTCAATGGCTGTTCAATATGCAACAATATCTCTAACTATCTGGGACAAATACCATTGAAGGAATTATATATGTGCCTAGATATTTGAGAGATGCTGCATCTATTTAGTATCAATATCAAATTCAAAGTTATAGAGCTCAAGGTAGATTTTGTGACTAGGAAGAATTTGAGACCAAGTTTAAGAATCAATTTTGGCCTATCAATGCAAAGAAGATAGCATGCGATCACTTAGAAAATCTTACACAAGTTAGGTCGATGCAAGATTATGTCTTTCTATTCAAGTCTTTATGTCTCTAAATTGAATATGTTTCAAAGGCAAAGATGATGGATCGATTCCTATAAGGTTTGAAACTTAGAATCTAATAAAAAGTAGAGCTAAGAGATCCATTCATATTCAAAGAGGCAATTTGGATTACAAAGATGGTCGATGTTGTAGATTTCAAAAATCATAGAGTTAGACCTATAGCATGAAGTCTTATACCGCTATCTAATATTACGACACAACAACTAATGCCAATGGAGATTAATGCCTTACAAAGAACATTGACACTACAAAAACAAGAAATATTGGTGCAAAAAGAATTATTTTTCTATTATCAGGAGTGAGGCCATCAAATTGGAGGTTGTCCAAAATGTCAAAGTACAAGTACCAATGAGATGAGGTGAGTTTATAGTCTTAAAATTCATCAAGTCAATAATAAGTTAGAGCAAGAAAATGGGACTCTCCAGTAAAGGCACCAAGGGCTAGTATTGGAGGTAGTTATTACCTCTCAAAGACAAATGGCATAACCTTGGACAACTATAAAAAGAGTCGATTGATACTTCTAACAGTGTCATGATATAACATAACTAATAGATGAAAGAATGTAAAAATTATTATAATATAGGAGATCTTAGTTCAAAGTATTAGAGCAAGTTATCTTAGAGATATAGTTAATAGTCAAAAGGATAGTAAAACTAAAAAGTACTAATAATGCCTTTTACAAAATGGCCTTCTACTTACTTTGTTGGACCATAAATAGGTCAAAATAAGATAGATTGGAAAAATAAATAATATAATTATCTTTAAAAAGAAGTTAAGAGTAAATTCCAGCAAAAAATTATCTAGAAAAACTAGATATTGATATCCAGAGAGGGCCAGTTATGAACCAGGGTCGAAATCAGACCGTGAGGCATAAAACTAAGCCTTGATGACGATTCTGGGGTTCTTTTTTAGATTGAAGAGTGAAATTTAATAGCAAACTAGATAAGGTTTTTATAAGCATTATTTTTGTGTGATTTGGATTCGTAATGACTTTGTAAGAGCTTTACAAAGTCAAGTTTGTTTTTAGATGATTTGGATTTTGTGAAATAAAATAAGATTAATGCTTTGGACAATTTCAAGAATTTTGTAGCAAATCTATAAGTAAAATTTTGTAGGTTAATAGTTATAGTTGTGCTAAATATGTTTTGTAAATTGTAGCTTAATCTAATGGTTGAATTGAGGGTTATTGAGGTTTAAGTGGGTCAAGGTCTCAAAAAATAGAATATTAAATCTAATGAGGTTTTTAAGATTTCTTCTAATCTACTAGTTGGATTGGAGTGAAATTTATGCATGAAGATAGTAGACTTGTTTTTTCTATGTATATAAGAATTTTGAAATCAATCAAATGGTGAAAAGAAGAGATATTGGCTTTCAGAGATTGGCATCAAGGTCAGAGAAGGAGGCCAACCAATACTTGAGCATGTTTTTGAGGTTATCATCTATTTGATAATTTTGATCATTTTCAAATTTTTTGTGCTTATTGTCAACTTAATTTTTAAGAAGTGTGCAAATTTTGAATTAAGATCAATAATTCATTCATTAGTTATTGAAATTTAAATCTATTATATGAATTACTAGACTTTGATTAGAGTTTGATTTAGAGTTAGGGTTTCGTTAGGATTTGAGTTAGGATTAGGATTTGATTTAGGATTAAGATTTGGTTAGGATTTGGATTAAGATTTGGTTAGGATTTGAGTTAGGATTAGGATTTGATTTAAGATTAGGATTTGGTTAGAGTTTGGTTTAGGATTTAGGATTTGATTAGGGTTTGATTTAGGATAAGAATTTAGTTAGGGTTTGATTTAGGATAAGAATTTAGTTAGGGTTTGATTTAGGATTTAGAATTTGATTTAGGATTTAAGATTTGGTTAGGATTTGTTTTAGGATTAAGATTTGATTAGGATTTGATTTAGGATTTAGGTTTTAATTAAGATTTGATTTAAGGTTTAGAGTTTGGTTAGGATTTGATTAGGATTTGGTTAGGGTTTGATTTAAGATTTAGGATTTGATTAGAATTTGGTTTAAGATTTAAGATTTAATTTAGAATTTAGAGTTTGATTAGGATTTGATTTAGGATTATGAGTTGATTTAGAGTTTAGGATTTGGTTAGGATTTGATTTAGGGTTTAGGACTTTATGAGAGTTTATTTAGGATTTAAGATTTAGTTAGTTTTTGGCCTAAATTTTGAATGAAGTCCAATAGGATTTTTACTAGGATTAAATTAAGATTGAATTGAGATATATTTGAGATATATTTGTAATCATTCTAATATTTCTTTAAGATTTCTTATTGTTTCTTTGTAATTCCTTTGAAGTTTGTTTGAATTTGATTAAAGCTTGCTTAGCATTATTATGGTCTAATTAGAGTTTAGTTAATATTCTATTAGAGTTAGGATTTTGTTGTTGCAATTTTAATTCTACCTTCCATAGCTAGGTGCCTGAAGCATTCTCAAGCAAGACTTCACATATTACAACAACGAGACTACTAAGAGGATAATCATGTCGAGTGCTTATAGATTGTAGCTCTACAAAAAATTACATCTTAAGTAAAATTGTCGACCGGCTTGAAATTGAAACCAAGGAAATCAAAAGAAGAAGTATATATCTTGCAGATGACCAAAAAAATATATTGAGTGAGACGTGTGAAAAAGAAACCTTGAGATTGATGGACACCTATGTCTTAAGAGAGAGATTTAAAGTAACAAAGCTAAAGTATGAAGTTATCTTTGGTATGCCATGGCTGGAGATGGAAAATAAGTAAGTTGATTGAATAACAACAACAATCTCTTTTGA